CTGCATTAAACTGAATTATCAACTCATTTTAAGGGTCTGAATAATCTCTGTGAATCCTAATAGAAATTTTCCTAATATACATGCGGGTACCAACTTGTTCTGAATATAATTTATTCAAGACAAGACCTGAATGTTCACTTGCATATAAACATATCAGGTGAAATTCAGCATGGCTCAAAGAGGCAGTTTTATTTCAGAGATGTTCTTAGGACCAAGAAAAAAAAAATCACAAATGGAAAGTAGGCAAATTCAAATATAGATTGTTGGAAGCTTTTTAAGTAATAAATGTTTAATCCCATTTTTTTTCAGTGTCATGTGGTTTCCAGTGTACACAAAGTAAAGAGTGAAAAGGCAAAAATAAAACTGGCATACCCTTAATATATTCCAGAATTCATAAATCATTTGTAAATTTAGTCCTTTTACAAAAGAATCCTTATATAAATCGGGGCGGGGGGGGATCAATCCCATATATGAAGCACAATTTAAGCCCAACATCACTGACCAATCAAAATTAGTGAATGCACTGCATCTCTCTGCAGTGAGGAGAAGCGACAAGGTAGGCTGTCATTCTGCAAAAGCTGCCCATCGCAAGCTTTCCTCTCAGAAGCACTGCTTTTCTTTTTTAGAAAGCTTGAATCTCAGTGGTGTCTCTGGAGACAAGAAGCCTTCAGTATGTTAAATTACTTTCATTATGTCTTTTCAGATGCTTATTGATTCTACAGTAGGAAGAGTGGGAGACTGCAGCAGCCTGTAAACCAGAACTAAAGCAGTTGTATACATTAGCAGTATGCTGAAACAATGGCACAGTACAGGCACAAATTTTCATTAAGGTCATTTTTTGAAGATATGCTTATTACCCTCTTTCCCTTCTACTCTGCTAACAAGTGAACAAAATGAATCCCTCCAACCTGGAACTGCTTCACCTGCATCGATTATCAAATCTTTAGTGGAGGTAAGATCTGTTCCTTATTATGATATGCAGAACAAGCAACATTTAACAAAAAAAATTGGAGAAAAAAGGGAAGAGATCAGATTCAACTTACATTAAGTGCTAGTATCTTGTTATATTTGAGACCAGGAAATATTCAAATGCTATCTCCCCCTCCCCATTAAAAACACAATGGTAGAAAAATGTTATTTTGTATGAAAGTCTTGTAGAATATTAAGAACCTGTTTTGTTTGTACAACATAAAGACAGTACAGTTTAAGCTAATACAGTATTGGGGAAAAAAAACACATAAGCCAACCGGGAATATTTTTTTCCTCCCTCAGCAGTATTCCCAAATATTGGCAGTTAAGTATGTTACAGATTTATTCAGTTACTCTTTGAAGGATCAGATAGTCTGTAATTAGTGTACACTTACTGCTTTATGAAGGTTGGCTAATATGACTAATCTCTGATTGCTCAAGAAATCCCCCTTTTTTGTTGGGCTTTTTTTTAAACTTATTTCTTTCATTACCCTGTACATTCAAGCCATTTATTAAAAACACGGATTTGCTAAACACTGATTTCAAGAAAGGAAATTATAACAGTGTGCAAATTAAACAAAAACATATTTCCTATAAAGCTCATTGACTCTGCTCAATTTCTCATTAGAAGACAAGAGAGTTGTATGTATAAACTACCTGCCCACAAGAGCTATAAAACTACATTTTCTAGCTGTAGTCACAGACACACTACATCCAACAGCTATTGCTTCTAGTCGGGGTTTTTTGTAACCTGCACTATTTGGAGAACAGGAAACTTGTCGAAAAAAACTAAATTCATATAAGTTGACAGAAGGATGACATGATTTTACTAGCAAATAGTGAACACACTAACTGATTTTCTATGTAATCTATACGATCCAATTTTAGAGATCTTTTATTCATGAAATAAGTGATATTAGAAAATATATTCTTGCATTACTTTATTTTGAAATTATAAGCCCTACTTTTAACCTTTTTTTTCCTCCCCTTCACAAGGGCATGCAGCAACTAATTCAGTTTTACAACTGACAATATGAAGAATGCAGTTGACCGGGTATCTTTCTAGCTGTATGACCTACAAGCAGCAGGATCCATCACTAAAATGTATTCTTAAGACATAAAGGAATTAGAAACAAAACATGGAACACACTTGTATTACCATTTACGTGCACGACACTTCAACAATATACATGGAAGACTAACACATCTGCTCAGATTTTCATTACAAGAAGAGTGCAATGATCGATTCTTAAAATGGTGAGCATTTCTTAAAGAGGGATTTATAATTTAAAACCAGAATTGTGGAAACTACTGATGCATGAAGAAACAATGAAACATGAATTCCCAAAAGGAGAATATGCATACTTCACCAGCAAGCTGAATAAGGGTTTAACCAAGCTTTTTCTATACTACTCATTAAATAACTTATTTGTCATAATGACTAATGGATATTTTTCTCTCAATTTTATGGTCTGTTATGTATTCTCCTTAAATGAAAATAAACCAAATTAGGTAACTCATGGTTACTCTCAAAGCACATGAACTGGATTTTATGATGTATAGCAACTTCTTTGACTAAGCCATCACTCAAAAGTAATGAGCAGGAATTTTACAGAAAGAAATACACAACCATAAACTAAAGGATGTCTACATACACTCTGAACACAGAGATCAGAAATTATTTTTTTTTAAACCTGGAAAATAAAAACAGGCTGCTACAAAATGCAACAGGGGAAAGAAATTAACATCACTTAAAAGAAGGTTTATTTGTTATTGCTGGCTTGAAACTCAGAACAGACAAGCAGAATATGCACTGGTCTGTAGAAGTAAGGCAATTAAGAAGTCCCCATGTTTAATCAGAATTTTTTGCTGCTGAAGTGCTGGAACAAAAAAAAGAAAAAAAAAACCCGCAAGGAATGAAATAAGAGCCCAGCTACTGCTTGGTTTCCAGGTTACAGTGCATGTCAAATATCTGTCAGTGACACCATGTATCAATTTATGACAAGCTGCTGCAATGATCTGAAAGGCCCTTGAGGCGCAGAGAACAGGTAGGTCAGCAGTTGCATGCACCCCACCTCCGCTCAGCATTTGCAAGGGAACAGGCACTGTCCAGAAGGGCAATGCACTGGGTAAATTAGCTCCCTGCCTTGACATTTCTGCTTTTATTTAACTGAAATCTAATCAATGCAACAAGGAGGTGATGTTTAATCTATTCATAAGACTTAGCACATCTGAAGTTTTCTGTTGCACAAAATTTCAGTTGGCCTAATGTTAGTGTTAAGACCATAATTTGTTTTAGCAGACCTGCTTTTGATTTCCTCCTTGCTTTTGCTAAGACGAAACAACTCCATTTATCCAGTAATGCATTTGGAATGGTTTCTTGAAATCCATTCACAGCCAGGACAGTGTACACAGAGGAAATAGTATTCCTGAGGGTTAATATAAACCTAACAGAGGTTGCCTAAATTAGAAATTAAACAAAGCTTTTGAAATATTTCTTGTTTCGTTTCACACCTGAGACTAATATGTTCTAATTTACATCTTTTGTATATAAGACGTACATGTGAAATAACTGTTGAAGCATACCAAGAATTTTCATCATACAATTTGCAATTAATAGTATTGTGCAATTGAGGCTTTTCAGAACTGCAGATAAAATCCATTTGCATATTGTATCCCAAGTGTGCTTAATTCATACTTTCATTTAAAAAGAGCTCATTTTTGTTCACCTTAGTGCTATCCATTTTTAATGTATTCAGAATGGAACAAAGGTCTGCATTTAAATTTATTTTCATGCCAAGTATGTCCCCTCTTAAATTTAAAGCTACCTAAAAAAAAAACAAACCCCTCAAGTATCATAACAAGAAATTGAATAACCTCTCTTTTATTTATTCATTTCATTACAAACTCAAGAGCTGGCTGACAATATAAACAAACATCAGGTATTACATGCAGCTGCTACATTTGCAACCTGTCAGCATGTGTAAAACAAAGCAGATGAGCCACAAAATAAAAAATCTCCTAGATGTAATAAATGCTACCTTTTTTGAATCTCATTTATTCCTAAGACAAACATGCTATGTATATAATTCCGTTGGATTTAATTGCAGTTTGTATTAAAAAAAAAAAAAACAACACAAAAACCCACCAAACCCAAAACCCTGAAAGAGACAATTTTCTCTTTAAGCATTATTTTCTAAAATTATTCCCTTAAATCTATTCTGGAATAAAATTTAATACTCTTCCATTCCATGTAGGCACTGATTTCTCAAAGAAATTGAATATTCAAATCAGAAGAAGGAAATGTAGTATTTGTATAATAAACTCCATTCCCCCAAACCCACATAAGTTTTGCACTTGAAATTATAGATACTTATATAAAGTTGTTGGAGTGGTAAGTTTCATACATGTAGATGCACACAAGATAAAAGCGAACAGAAGTCTTCAAGCTCTGTAAAAATCTGCTGAATTACAGAACTTCAAGTTTCAGCCCACAACACTATTGCAAACTCTTCATAAGAAAGAGGCTGCTAAATTGCCATAAATAATTTAAATGTTCTTTTTATGATACATAAGCAACAGTGCTCCCTGTTCCTATCACTTTCTTTTTCCACAAGAGCCTTTTTAAAATGATCTTGAGTACTAATTTGCTAATACTTAACAACTTTCTTCTAAAATGACCCTCAACGCAATACAAAGGCAATGCGCAATTATAGTTTATTCAACAAATGGGCCCTTTGTAAAAACCACATCGCTATAAATAAAGCCTTGTCTCCCTAAGTGGAAGCTTTTCACTTTTTTTTTTTTTTTAAACAAATCCTGCATTCCTTTAAAAAGGAAAGACCTTATTCTAGATCCTCAGGCTTTTGAGTCCATGCCAACCAAAGCTCTAAACATACAGTAAATCAAGAGTTTGATAAGAGTAGATGCTTTTCCTCCCTGCTCCTTCCTCAGCATTTATCTACACTAAGTGTTAAAAAAAGAAATCAAACAGTTCCATATTTTATTTCATCTTTCAGGAGAAAAAACAACTGCAACAAAAGAATGTGTTTCTCCCCCATTCTGGAAGTCAACATGCAGTCTGAATCTAACATTACAGTTCGAGATGCCATTGATGACATCGACACCAACATGTACCGACCACTGTCATATCCATTAAGCTTTCAAGTTTCTCTCACTGGATTTTTGATGTTAGAAATTGTTTTGGGACTTGGCAGCAACCTCACCGTGCTGGTACTTTACTGTATGAAATCCAACTTAATCAATTCTGTCAGTAACATAATTACAATGAACCTTCATGTACTTGATGTAATAATTTGTGTGGGATGTATTCCTCTAACTATAGTTATCCTTCTGCTTTCACTGGAGAGTAACACTGCTCTCATCTGCTGCTTCCATGAGGCTTGTGTATCTTTTGCAAGCGTTTCAACTGCAATCAACGTCTTTGCTATCACTCTGGACCGATATGACATCTCCGTAAAACCTGCCAATCGAATTCTGACCATGGGAAGGGCGGTGATATTAATGACATCCATATGGATCATTTCACTTTTTTCCTTCCTGATTCCTTTCATTGAAGTCAACTTTTTCAGTCTTCGAAGCGCAAGTACTTGGGAAAATAAGACACTTTTGTGCGTGAGTACAAACGAGTACCACACTGAGCTAGGAATGTACTACCACCTTCTCGTTCAGATTCCAATCTTTTTCTTCACTGTTATAGTAATGCTAATTACATACACCAAAATACTCCAGGCTCTAAATATTCGGATTGGTACAAGATTTACAACGGGACAAAAGAAGAAAGCTAGAAAGAAAAAAACTATTTCTTTGACCACTCAGCATGAGACTACGGACGTGTCCCACAGCAGTGGAGGAAGAAATGTCGTCTTTGGCGTAAGGACTTCTGTGTCTGTCATAATTGCTCTACGCCGAGCTGTAAAACGGCACCGGGAGCGACGAGAACGGCAAAAGAGAGTCTTCAGAATGTCCCTCTTGATTATCTCAACATTCCTTCTCTGCTGGACACCCATCTCTGTTTTAAACACCACCATCTTATGTTTGGGCCCAAGTGACCTTTTGGTAAAGTTGCGATTATGTTTTCTAGTAATGGCATACGGAACAACTATATTTCACCCTCTACTTTATGCATTCACGAGGCAAAAGTTTCAGAAAGTTCTGAAAAGTAAGATGAAAAAGCGAGTTGTTTCAATAGTGGAAGCAGATCCCATGCCAAATAATGCTGTAATACACAACTCATGGATAGAGCCTAAAAGGAACAAAAAGATTACCTTTGAAGACAACGAAGTAAGGCAGAAATGTTTAGTACCTCAGGTTGTCACTGACTAGATTTCAGTATTCACCAAAACACATCAAGCGGAATATTTGAACAAACTGTAGAAAAATACTGCCAAATAAGAAAAACTTTTTTTAACTATTGGCGAGACTGTAAATTTTCAATATATATGTTAAATAGAGTAGGTCTTGTATATTCAATTTCTTCATTATGTAAGATATATGTTGCATGGCAGTTTGTTAGCATAATACCATGTGTATATTTGTCAAAAATATTCAAATCCTCTTTTTTAGAAAATAAATAGCCTTAAAGAAGTGCAAACTTTTAAAAATATTTGTATGGCTCAGTTTCTCTGTAAATATAAAAGAATTTTTAAACAAAAATTCCACTCAGGAATACTTTTCTAAAGCACAAATTCAACATTTTGCATGATTTGGTTTTTTTAAATTTAATTCATAAACAGTATTGATCAGAGATATTCTGAATGCTATACAGCTACAACTTGGACACATTTTGACCTCATATTTAGATAGCTACTTATTTCAATTTTCTCCAGCATGCAATTACCATGCACATGTAGACAAAGCCATTTACGTGATGTCCTTCAATTAATGGTTCAGAATCAGTTAATTTTGATGGGGGGAGGGGAGAATTCACGTTGGTCCAAAATTGAGAGTACTTTTAAGAAAAGTAAAAAATCTTGCGTATACAATCTCAGATCCACAGTTTCTACATACAAAATATACAACTTTGAATAATTACACAGGAGGGGTGGAGGGGCTAACGGGAAAATGAAGGCTAAATGAAGGCAAAAACCACAGACAAGTTATTGGGCTTCCTGCTAAAAGACAACCAACCAACAAAGCCATTCCTGTGCAAAGGCTTAGATTTTCACACTGATAGGGTTTAGCTAGACCTCCAGTATGACATGAGGACCTTTCATACAGAGATTTTTCATTCATACCATCCATCTACATAGATAGATATGGCTGTCAAGTGCCACAGCTAAAGTAGAAGATAATCTTCTTGCCCTCAATAACTTTTGTATTATTTTGACTTCACTTCTCCTTCGATGATGTTCAGTTCTAGCCATGCAACTGCTTTGTCACAAACCAATCACCAATACTGTTAGCTACCCTATTTCTGTATTTCCTGGACGGCCATGGTATATCATCATTCTACATCCTCTTTTTCTATTTCATCTTATACCTGCAATGAAGAATCAAGCAGCCTTAAGAAGTCACCATCATCCATAGCACTGTAAGCAAGAATTAAGATATTCACCCAAACAAAAGTTTGTTGAGTGGTTTGCACTACCCCATGCTTAAAAAATTCATCATTTCAATGAACAGTGGCTATATTCAATGACTAAGTTACCAGTTATGGGGGGAAGGGGGAAACAAAACAAAAATCTGCAAAATTAATTAGCATGATTTCACTTGTCTTGTTATATAAACTGCTCAGTGTGTCACCAGCTACCAGTATAATTAAAAGGCTAATTCTCAATAAGTATTGGCTTCTATTAAAAAAAAAAAGCAGAGCGTATCCTTGAATATGAGAGCTAGTTTGACTAAACTATTACGTAAAAAAATGAGGATTTCTGAAGCACTTTTCTGAAACTGCATATAAAAAAAAAGTGTGGTTTTAAGGGAGCAAAAAGTTATTTTCCATTACATCATTAAGTTATTAATCATACGTGTATTGCCAAAACTGGTTTTGTGGTTAAAAAAAAAAAAAGCAGTACTTGTAATGTACCTTAGTTTACTTAGGCTCATGGCTTAGCTTACCAGAACAGAAGACAAAAAAAAAAAATACAACAGCTCCATATTCCACAAAGACCAGCCACTTACAATCATCCAAATTCTACCTAGAAGTTTTATTATCTAATTGATAATAATTTGTTATCTAAAATTACTGTGTAACATATATTCAAACATAATTTCACTGGCTTTTTTCTAAAAGCTAGCCCAACAACACCTGCATTCAACTGTACCCACTTACAGTGTTGATTTCATCGAAGCTATCCCTAGTTTCCTATAAGAATTTAAATCCTTCATCTTATCTGAGAGGTTGCAGGGGGGAAGTAAACTTAATGGTTTTATGCAAGAAGCTTTTTTTTTAAAAAATCCCAAATTTACTACTTCAAAAACATACTTTCAGGAATAAGCTGTTCTGAAAAGTAATGTAAGCAGGAACTATTGTTTCTTCTTTTTTTTAATACTTCCTCCTTCCTCTGCCTAGCTATCCTCTGTATTCTGAACACTGAAGGAAGGAGAAAGTAGGATGTCTAGGGTTAATGGCATAATATGATTCAACTGATTACTTAACTTTCAATAAAGCATACTTAAATCAATTAAAAATACTATTCATTTATTTAAAAAGAAGAAAGAAATCATAATGACCACAACACATGAATAAGCTTACATCATGTCCTTATCTGAAATAAGCATTTAAGAAAAGCTTTCAGACTCGAAAGGTTTCTTGACAACATGACTTTACTTTTTAAAATTAAATAAATCCTCAAGAACTACATGTTTAGTGTTAAAAGCTCATTCATTAGAAAGTCAGATTCAATGAAGCAGTACTTCGTAACAAAGAGAAAACACAGCCTAGGAATTAGTCAGAGAGATTAAGTCAGGTTTTAAAGGCTACGTCGATCACAGTCACTGATTGCCTTTAAGAATATAAGCAAGTTCATTTTTACATTTACTATTCTTCATCTTTCATTAAATAAAGAAAAAAAAAAGGATTTATACCATGTTGGAGTATACTTTGAGGTCTGCAGAAGAAAATTCTGCATAGAGCAGAGAGTAACACAAGTAAGAATATGTGCAATCCTATATACACGCAGGAGTCATTATAAAACAGAATCATACATGATCTGTACCACAAAGACGACAGATTTAACACAAACAAGACAAAATGAAGAGTAACTAGTGAAGGAACACTGTATATCCTACAGATACAAAAGAGGATTTTAGGAGGGATATGAAGGTGTGCCGTGGGTGCTTGACAGACAGACTAAAACAGAACGCAAAAATAGGCAGCATCACTGGAGAAAAAAGGGCAAATATATGCCATAGTATTGTACAATAAGAAGCCCACTACATTCTTAAAAATGATCTCACCACAGTGAGTCATTAGTTCAATTACATTTCACACCACTCAGCCTAAGGCAAGTGGAATTGTACAGGACTCTAAAAATAGTAATTCCAGCAAATACGTCTCAGAAACAGAGGCAACCACCACCAGTTTCCACATGTTCTCTGTCCCTAAAGTATTAGCTGGTATCTGACTATGTTGTCTTTTAACTTCACATGCATTTCCATTCAATTTTACATTGTAAAATGAGATTAACTCACACTAAAAATACAAAAAAGCTGAGTATAGTGCCAGTATCTATTAGAATATTCAAGAAGCACACCTTAATACACTAGTACATCACAAACCAGTGAAACAGAAATGTAAATACATCACAAATATCTAGTTTCACATTGGCAACAATTTTTACGGATTACAAGGCATTGCTACATGATCAGAAGTTCTGTTTACTTCATTAGTGCCAGGGGAATAGGAATCACTTCAGTGATTTCTAAATATATTAGATTAAAAATGTATGCATCCGGATACATGTGAGATCAATACACCTCTCCTCCTTCATTGTTACATAAATACACACATGTACATAATACATAATTATTATACATCCATACGCACCAAAAGTGGAGTTCAACATTAGCATCTATTTTATATTTATATGGAAGGGTTTTTGATAAGAGTATCTCTGAACTGGAGAGACAGGCACTATGCCCCACCACACATATGCCTTCTCTTCCTCACCAGCACCTTTCTTTTTTTGTCTTCTTTTTAGATGAAATAATACATTCAACAAGCAATATAATTTACCTGGGCACAAGGAAGAATTTTTCTGCTCTGTTAACTGTTACATATATCATATTGCAATGCACATAATAGTTCTTTTTCAACATCAATGCATGTGCTAGTCATCAGAATTTTCTGATAGCTGAATATTTTAGACATATGTTTGTTTCCTCCGAAGAAAGTGTTTTAGTTACCAATTGCCATTAAAGTCTTTTAAAAGGAGAGAATTCAGCATTCTTTAGTAAAGTTTCAGTGTAGTATTAAAAAATATAGAATACACTAACTTACATTTCCCTCCCCCATTGTTCAAACAAAATACCTCCAACATATAGCTAAGGACAATCAGCTTCTGTCTTAAAATCTTCCAGCTTTGTAACAGCCAAATTCCACTCCCACTTCACACATTCTGCTGTAATATCACTGAATTTATTTGTCTTGCACCAACAGGAGAGAAGAATCTGACTCTGTAATTACCTTCTCCTTTTTCTACTTCATAGATCACTCGTGCAATTCAAGAAGCAAAATTAAACACAGGATTTGGATTTTGTTTTGCTGGGGGCGTTCTGAAAAAAAAAGAAAAAAAAAAAGCAAAAAGAAAAAAACCCAGACATAATAACTGACTAATAGGAAAATCAAAATTGACTCATACCCAATGGGTGTTCAAGAAGAAGGATGTGAAGTAGGTGGAGAGTATAGGTCAAGAGGAAAAGGGCAGAAGGTGGAAGGAACCGCTTTAAGGCAGCTATGGCCATCAGGACCACAGAAGGGTGGAGGGCAACATGCACCTGCCATGGAAATAATGCTAACCTTATTTTTTAGATTATAATAAACAAAAATACAAGAAGAACTTATCTTTGAGTCATTGAGTGGGATGACAGCACCGAGAGCGTGCACTATTCTACCACCTCTTTTCCTAGAGATAAACTATACATTTTACTGAGTACAAAGTACATACAGAGTACATGCATTCCAAGAACAGATCTGAAAAGAAAATGTTATTAGATGTCTGTTCCCAGTGATAATTTTTTTAAAATGTTACTGAATTTTCCCTCAAATCAGTATTGGCCAGATAGCTTCGAGTGTGTTTCACTACCACAGTATGTTTTCAATCACTGCTTCTTTATCTCAATTTAATTATTTTTGTAGAGTAATAAATTGAAGGAGAAATATCATTAGACATCTTTATGTTCTTTGTTAAAATTACACTTCAGTGATAATTATAAATTGAGCCAGAACGGAAGAAATATCTTCCTGTGTATTTACTTTACAGATTTCTGTATCAGCTGTTTTCCTATTTTACAAAGAAATTCTCACACAATGAAAAGAAATTCAGTTGAAATGAAAAAACAGAAGATTTATAGTGAAAGTTCTGTGGTAGGTAGAGAACCTGCAATTACTAAAACATAATTTATTTTTTATAGTTTGAATGAATTATA